TGGTGGTCTGGACACCCTCGTGCACCAGTAACGATGGTTGGGGATGTTGGTATCTGAGCCCTTTCCATGTGCATTGCTTTTTGTGTAGGTTTCCCTGTGTACCCCGTTCACCCAGACCCACTTTACAAACAGGGACATCACTACACAGCCATCCCCTCCCCGAAACCTGCCAATCCAGCCACTTAGAGAATCAAAGGGTCCAGGGCTCTTTCTCTTTTAATACCTTTCTAAAAAGAGGTGGAAGGTTACTCTAATTATTGTCAATTACCTGGAACAATTTCCCCTTTGGTTTCCAGTGACAAATTAATGAAATTTTCACAGTGGGCTAATTACAAGGGTTGCAAATTTGAGGCCTCTTGCAGGAAATATGTCCTCTAGAGTCATTGAATGTCATTTGCACATTCTTCCAAAAGTTCTGGGACTTTTCTGGTTGGATCTTTCTATAATGGAATTTCAGCATGCCTGGATTTCTATTTTCTCTTCCTCCTTGTCTGGTTAATTAGGGAAAAGTCTTTTATATAGTGCACTTGGTTGAAAGATGAAACATATCATAGCCTTAGGATTTGCAGCTATGATGTTGGTTGAAGGGAGAAGTGAGTCACTCTGCACTTAGAGGAAACTCCTAGAACCTGGGGTCCAGGTGAGCCCAGCTTTGGGGTGGGGCACCTCTCCCTTCTCACCACCTGTCTACCACAGACCTCAGCTCTGAAGGTGGCTTAGCTGTGACAGTCACAGTGCTAGGATCGCATGACTCTTGCAAGTCCTGGCCGACTTGTTCATAGGAATTACTCCCCTCCTTGGTGCCCATGGGTAGCACCTCACCACCTTCTATCACAGAAGCTGAACACCTGAGCTAGAATCCCAACTTTATCACTTTTTAACTATGTGGCCTTCAGCAAATCAATCTACTTTTCTGAACATTAGTATCTTTTCTTATTTCCATAAGAGGGATAATAAAATTTCTTCCCCTTACTCTCCTAACGAAGACATGAGGCCCAAATGAGGTCAAAGGCGTGAAAGGGCCTTATAAACCTTAAAAGGACATAAATGCAAATTGTCCTTGAGAAGGCCCTCTGGGAGTCAACATCAAAGGGGCCTCTAGAAGCCCGGGTACTTGTCCCACGTGTCTTCTCACAGCTAACTGCAAACAAGGCAGGCAGTCTTCACGCATATGTGATGGTAGAGAGGGGCAATTGGGTTTCATTCCTCCCCTTCATTTTAACAAGCAAACGAAATGTCTGGATGGTGGTGAGAGTGGAGGTCGAGTAATAATTTGTCACTGATGTCCCCAGGTCGGTTAGGAGGGCATGGGACGCATGGGAATTCTTAGACCTCCAGGCAGAGGCTGAAAGAGAAGAACCAGAAAGAGAGCTTGTGACAGTCAGGTTCTGAACGGGTGTAGAAAGCAGAGAAAAACCTTCATCTGCTTTGCAGTTTTCCCTGAATGCTCATGGTTGAAACTAAAATCTCTCAACTCAAGTCAACTCAACTCAGCTCAACTCGACTCAAACATCTCTCAGATACTTACACAGAATCAGACTCAGGAAGAACTTCCCAATGTGGGTCGTTGTCAAAAGGAACACCTCTGGGAACTGGAGTCTCTCTGCATAGCTTGGAAACCAATGAGCCAAGATGAATGAAGCCTCATAGCAGGAGGGGTGGATGAGCAGATGAGATTCAAGAACTTTTCCTCCTTCCATTCTATGCTGCGTCCCTCTCAGGACCACGCATTCTCATTGCCCCGTCCCTAATGCCTGGCACATTGCCGGCCCCATAACAGAGGAGAAAGTGGGAAGATGAAGGAATGAAGAATAGAGTAAGTAGTCAGATTACGGGAACAGGTGTTTGGCATAGTCTTGCTCCCCACAGTAAGATGTAAGCCCTGGTCTCCTTCATAGACTCTTCTGGCGACCCCTTCCTCCCAGGGCACAATTCACAGGTGGCCCTACATACCTAGAACCCACAAAGTGAACCCTTGCTAGGTGTGGGGGGCCATGCTTGGGACCCACCACAGATAAAAGGTGAATAGACACAGCCCTCACCTCGAGTTCACAATGGGAATAAAAATTAAATCAAAAAACCCCAAAAAGAAAACAACCCCACTTCAGAGCCTACGTGAGAAGTTCAGGGCTGGGAACCCACTGCCTGACCTCATTTTCACATCAACCCTATGGTGATTCCCTATGAACACAGCTGATTTTTTTTGGAGGGGGGTGAGTTGGAGTATTTATTACCTGTTTTTTTTCTCAAGTATTATTTTATTGTAAAACAGACATACTTTTCCATTTTAACCATTTTTAATTGTAGAGCTCAGAGGCTTTCAGTGCATTCATTTTGTCATGCAGCCATCACTCCCTCCCTCTCCAGAGCTTTGCATCTTCCCCAGCTGAAATTCTGTCCCCATCAAACACCAGCTGGCATTCCGCACTCCTGTGGGCTCCGGGCAACCCCCTTTCTACCTTGCGGCCCTGTGAATTGACTCCTCTAGCTAATCAAGTAAGTGAATCATACAATATTTGTCCTTTCGAGTATGGTTTATTTCACTTAGCGTTATGTCTTCAGGGTTCATCTATGTCCATAGAGGCGTCAACATTTCCTTCCTTTTTAAGTCTGAAGAGTAGTTCATTGTGTGTACAGACCGCACTTGTTCACCCATTCTTCCATCGGTGGACACCCGGGTGGCTTCCACCTTACGCAGTTGACTTTAATTACATGCACTCCGTTCAGAGGCAGGAACAGTCTTACATCCTCACACGTTTTGGGGATAAGAACTCCCCCCACTCTGCCAGGAGATGGGGGAGGGCATGTACAACACCCGGCAGATACCACCACCCACTTAAAAATATAATACTTAGTAGCTAATACATACTTACCGTAGGAAACTTGGAAAACATAGAAAGGTGTCAAAAAGAAGCTAAAATTGCCTCCAGTTCTTGCACCTGGAGGCAACACATGTGACGTATAAGTTAATAGAAAAAAAAATGATTAGAGCAAGATGCTCGTCTCAGCCCATTTGGGCTGCTGTGACTAAATGCTATAGATCAGGGTGCATATAAACAACAGAAACTTATTTTTCACAGTTTTGGAGCCTGGAAAGTCCAAGATAAAGGTGCTGGCAGGTTTGGGGTCTGGTGAGAGCCCACCTCCTGGTCCATAGACAGACGCCTCTTGCTCTGTCCTCACACGGCAGAAGGCGCAGGGGGTCTGTTCTGTAAAAATGCTAATGCCATTCATGCGGCTCCACCCTCATGGCCTCATCACCTCCCAGAGTCCCCTCCTCCTCACACCATTACACTGGGACTGGGGCTTTAAGATGTGAATTTGGGGGCGGGAGGAACACAAAGTTTCAGCCTGAAGCCTGGGCAATAATCGCTTTCTCTGGAGGTCAGTTAGCTGTGCTTGTCTTGGCTATGATGGGCTTGCTTTAGAAAAGCCCTCAGGACACAGCGCCCTGCATCAGGGAGGGCCAGAGCCCCCAGACCTGGCCGCTGCACCTCACCTGTCAGGGCCAGAGCCCCCAGACCTGGCCGCTGCACCTCACCTGTCAGGGCCAGAGCCCCCAGACCTGGCCGCTGCACCTCACCTGTGCCTTGGGCCAGGACACAAAGTTGCATTTACAAGCTCCAGTCCATTGTCTCCTGCCCAGGAGGGCAGAAGGGCATGGTGTGATGTAAAATTCGCCATTAGTGACATTTAGTACATTTACAATGTTGCACAAAGATCACCATATCTAGTTCCAGAACATTCTCATCCCATGCCCATTATCTGTACTGAGAGTCAGCCAGTGCTGTATCCCAAGGACACAGCCAGCCTCATACACAGTGACACAGTGAGCATTTGATACACACAACATGTGCTTGAACATAAGGCACCCACCCCCATTCTCCCAATAAGGAGGATTGTTTAAAAAAAAAAAGAGAAAGGAAAGCACTAATTTGAATATAAAAACTTTGCAGAGCAATATTTAATATATTTCTAGTGACCCATGTTTTGAATCACATAGTGCATAAAATAATGTGTGAACTTAAAAATACAGCTTTTCCCAACTACCCTGTTTATGAAATATTCATTCGCACCTGGGGCATCAGGGCCCTTCTCATCCCTAGACCCATTTTCTGAATCAGCTATTCATGTTCTGGCTTATATCATCCCTCTTACACTCTGAAGAGAGCTGGCTAGTTTTTATTAATACAGATGTTTCTTATTTGTTTTTTCATAATAGCTTTTTGGAGATATAATTCATACACCTTAAAACACACCCTTTTAAAATGTACAATCTGGTGGATTTTAGAACCGTCACAGAGTCGTGCCGCCATCTCCACTGTGTAATCACAGGACATTTCACCACCCTGCAAAGAAACCCCCTCCCTTTAGCGGTCACTCCCTCTGCCCGCTTCCCCCACGGCCCCATGGCAGCCACTGATCTGTTTTCTGTCTCCACAGATTTCCCTATTGTGGATACTTCACATACACAGAATCATGTAACATGCAGAGTTTTGTGTCTGGCATAATGCTTTTGAGGTTCCTCCATGCCGTAGCACGTCACACTTCATTCCTTTTCCTGACTGCAGAGTATTCATTGTATGGACATAGCATATTTTGTTTATCTGTTCACCAGCTGATGGGCATTTGGGTACCTCTACATTTTGGCCATCACAATTAGCCCCCGAATCCTTCCATGGAGTACCACCCTTTGCGGTATGGTCCTCCCCATGCTATAGATGCAGGACTGAGGTGAGAGCAGTGGGGACTTCCATCTTGCCTTGAGCTTCTTCTGTCTGGTGGGTCAGGGCTGCCTGAGGGTGGAGGAGCCAGTTGACCACAGTGAGGATGATGCTGGTTCCTCAGTTAAGTCAGGGAGAGCCCAAGGGCCCTCAGCTCCTGGGAGGCCTGTTTGCTCACCTTTCACACCTCTGTGGAGTGTGAGCAGTAAAGGCATATCTGTGTCAAGGATGCATGACCCCAAGACCCTTTCCTGGGCTTGATCAGGTGCTGCCGTGAGGGGGAGCCGTGCGGAACCCTGCAGGAGCTCTGCCGTGCCAGCAACCTGAGACCTTGCTGGAGGAGCAGGTCCGAGGTTCAAGCTGCAGCAAAGCCCTTGTCTGCCCTCCTCTGATGTCCTGGGGAAGCCATACCCCGTCGTGGGAGGCCATGGGCTCCTCCCACTCTGCAGTCCCATGCACGACAAAGCTGGCTCTGTGGTGGCTCCTTCTGATCCCAGCAGGTAAGTGGTTGTAAGCAGCGGACCCTGTGTCACACCTCTAAGCTCACAGGCCTTGTGGAGATGGGCTCACAGGCCTTGCAGCAACTGCCAAAGCTGGGGGAGGGGGGGCTTGCAGGCAGCTTCCTGTGCAGTGAGAAGGTGGTGGGGCACGCACAGGTGTGGCCTTGGCAGCTGGGGCTCCGGAGCCTCCCAGAGCTCCAGCGAGCCTCACCTGTAAAACGCCAGCAGGACTGCGGACTCACGGGGTGTTGCGGGGATTGCATGAAATGAAAATGTGCTACTTGCCCCTGGGGTACACTAGGTATTGGGCACGTGGCTTCTAGGGTTAGCAGTGTGCTTCTCTGGACTTGAGAACAGAAGTCTCAGCTTGCTTAGGCAGCAGATCCCTGAAGGGGTGAAGCTGCTTACAGAATGTGGTGAAAGCAGACACAAGTGATTCCATGAGACTAATTTGGGAGCCTTTGCTCAGCTGATAAGAAGGAGAAAAGGCAGTGATTTGAGAAAGATGGGAGAGATGCCCCAAGGAGGCCAAGGATTTTGTGGTTTGCATTAGTGTCTCACTGACAAGCAGATGAAATGAAAGGCTCACTGTCACGCGTGAAGCCCTTCTCCCTGCAGCCCACCCTACACAGACCAGGCACCCCCCGATTTGCTGTCCCCCCTGGGGGTCCTCAGTTCAAGGCTGGATCTCGCTCCAGGTCTTCCTTCTTCCCTACTCCTCTGCCTCCACAGCTTTCTCCATGCCTTCTGACCTGATAGTCATGGAGTAACTGACATTTCTTGAGCTCCAACCATGTGCTGTTTGCTTTGTTAAGCTTAAAGTGCATTGTTGTATTTAATTTTCAACAATGTTTTGAGATACGATCTGGGTAACACCCCATTTTACAGGTGAGGAACCCGGCTGGGTGAGGTTGAGTGGCTTTGACTTGATGGGCAAGGGACCTAAGCAGCCGCCACCACGGCCCTGGAGACCCCACTCTCCTCTCCTTTCCCACAGCGACGGCGCAGCGGGCTCCCCCCACCCAAGCCGAGGACCGCCTCTTCAAGCACCTCTTCAGGGGCTACAACCGCTGGGCACGGCCGGTGCCCGACACGCTGGACGTGGTGATCGTGCGCTTCGGGCTGTCCATCGCGCAGCTCATTGATGTGGTGCGCCCGTCCCGCCACCCTTCACCCCCTTGGGATCAGCACCCCCTTGGGATCCCGGGTCCTCCGCCCCCCCCATCTCCACTCCTCCCTCCCCTCCTCATCGGAGCATCTCTGCTCACAGCCTCCGCCGCGTGCTCCCCGCTCTCGGCCCTGGAGCCCCTCTTCAGGGGCACTGCTGGGCAGCAGTGGGGTTCTAGACCCCTGCTTGATCCACTGGACCGAAGCCTAGAAGTCCCAGGTGGCCTGGGTAAGGGTGGCAGTGTCCCAGGGCGTGGTGGACAGGCGGGGCCTGGGGGTTGCTTAGGAGGGTCTTCTGGATGAGCCGGGCCCACTCCTCCCTGATTGCTGGGCCGGCCCCATCGCTCCGTTTCTCTTACTCTCTCTCCCCACACTGGCCAGGACGAGAAGAACCAAATGATGACCACCAACGTCTGGCTGAAGCAGGTGAGGGCACCCCCCCCACCCCCCAACCCCTAGCCGAAGCAGGAGCAGGGGCGGGGCGGGAATGCGCTGCCCCCAGGCTCTCCCGGGACTCTCTCACTAACAGCAGGATTCTGAATCCACGTGTTACCTTAGAGCTGCCACTTGGGGCGCCCCTGAAGCCCACCGATTGCAGAGTGCTTCTCGTAAGGGGTCGGGCTCTGGTGAGGCAAGGCTCTGCGTACAGTGCCTGTGAATGCCACCTGGGGAGCCACGAGGTCCCTTCTCGGGAGGGCATTTCCCACATCCCCGCAGCCATGTGCAGATCGGCTCTTTGAGTCACCACTGAAAACCGCTAGGAGCTTCCATTCTGCCCATTTGACAGCTGAGAACATGGAGGGGCAGAGCATAGCTTGGCCAGGAAGGGCAGCCGAGATGCTGACTCAGAACTGCGGCTCCTACAGAATTTGGTTATCATAACTGTCCCCATGGGCTGGTCACCTAGGGTTCAGGGCTGGGGTGGGGAGGGGAGGATGGAGCACTGGAGCGGGAGTCAGCCCACCAGCACCACCTCTGACTAGCCTGTGATGCTGTGCACGTTACCTGACCTCCCAGAGCCGCACTTTTCTCATCTGTGAAATGGGGACACTGGAATCCTGTACTGGCAGCCTATTGCCAGTTATTATAATCCAACTTGGTGCAGCTGCCCCCAAATGTTGGCTGAACTTGAAAACCTGACAGCTGATGAACCAGGGGTAGGGGATACATTTATGAAGACCAATCCTTTTTGGAATTGTTCCTCAATGTCCTAAGAAATACTGGCAGTTTTGCAAACGTCTGTATCTTTCCTGCTTGGCAAGTTGGCTCCTCCGTCCACCTACACCTCCCCCTCCAGATGAGCAGTAATTCCCCCTGGCAGGGCTAGTGTCTTCCTGAGTGTGGTTTGGGTACCAATGGCTGTTTTGTTGAAATGAGTATACTTGGCTCACAAACCTTTTTGCAATAGTTGCACATTTATATTTTAGTGGATATTTTCAAATGCTGTTGGCCTTCCAGTTACATCAGTGATAGAAAAAAATTTGTAAGTTTAAAAATAGCGAACCAATGTAAAGGAATACACTAAGTAAATGATTATCCAGGTGGTACACACTTATTGGCAAAAATGATGAAAACTGGGACTGGAGTGTGTGAAATTTGAGGACCACTGAGTCAGCCTGGGGCTTTTCTGGTTTCAGGTTTGCTTCCTGGAAAAGCTCATTTCCCTTCACTCCCACCTGGATCCCTCACCAGGTTATCGTGTTTGTGTAAACGTTACACGACTCCCCTTCGAGGGGAGAAAGGCATCGTACACGGGGGTCTTTCCAAGAGTGTGTCACTGTGCTGTCTTAGAGCAGATGCCCAAAAGCACAGTTGTCCCTGGAGTTAGGGCAGGCTTGGGACAGGGAGACCAGGGCTCAGGCCCCGGGCTGCCACTTGGTGGTGGCTGTCATGTTAATTATTACAAACCCCTGGAAGGCAAAGGACAGCCTTGTGTGTAAACACCAGTAGTTCTCTGTAGGGGGGCAGTTGCTCCTTTTAGGTCCAGAAAGGATGTGGGAAACCCTCCCAGAAATAGGACTATACAAGTGTACAGGAAGGAGGGTTTCTTTTCATTGCTGGAATACATATTTATTGTGCCCTGACCAGGAGCTTGGTGCCGGGCATGCAGAGTGAAGCAGATGTTTCCCCTGGCTGCATGGAACTCACAGAGGCACTACTAAGTGTCATCTCTGCTTGTGATAATGCCGTGGAGGGAAACTCAGAGATTGAGTAATCGCATCTGGTTTTGAGGAGCAAACAGATTCACCTGGGCCCACTGGTGGGAGCCTCCTGGGGCCCAGAGCACGCCCTCCCGGCCAGGACGCTAAGGGGTCTCTCCGGAGCAGTTGCACAGTGCTGATCGCCTCCCCTTTCTCAGCTGTGTATCTTCGGGGGGCTGTTTCTCTCTCCTGTCCTCAGTTTATCTGTTGAATGGGCGAACAGTTCCCTGCCTGGCTCTTCCATTAGGTTCTTCCTGGACCGAGGGTGTTATAAACTTTGAGAACCGTGATGTCCTACAAAGTGTTCCTACAAATTAGTGACGTGGCTGGCGGGGTCGTCTGGGAGGCGGTGGGGGCACACCGAGCACTAGAGGCGGCAGGGCCTGCTGCCCAGGTGTGCCATGACTTGGGGTACCCGAGTCGGTCTGAGGAGTGGGTGGGTTACCGTAGGCTGGCCCCCGAGTCTCAGCTCAGAGCCCTCCCTAGTCTGCCGGGCTGGGCGAGCAGTGCCGGGGGCTCCCCAGTCCCTGGGCCACGCCGCTGGGTGACAGGACTCCCCTCCACGGGCAGGAGTGGAGCGACTACAAACTGCATTGGAACCCGGCCGACTTTGGCAACATCACTTCCCTGCGGGTCCCTTCGGAGATGATCTGGATCCCCGACATCGTCCTCTACAACAAGTAGGCGGCCGCTGGGTCCTTTTCCCCTTGGAGGGGCGGGCGGGGCGGGCGGACGCCCCTCGGCTGCGCTGGGCTGCGGAGGTGGGCCCCTGGGGGTCTCAGCTCCCTTGCTAGCCTCTCAACTCCTGTGCCGCTGGTCCTCACTTCTTCACCTTCTCTCTTGATTCCTTTCTTTCTTTCATTTTGTTCTTTCACTCATGCATCAAAATTTACTGAGCACCTGCTCTGTGCCAGTGCCTGGTGCTACGCTAGTAGGACACAGATTTGCCCACACTGATTATTGTTAGAAAACTGCAGTTGCATAGGCTCTGGAAACGATGCCTAAAGGTTGGAGTTTTTTAGGATGGAGTGTTGTGTGAACAGGTACGTGCATCCCGGGGTAACACCTTCAAAGGGAGCAAACACACAGGGTTTGGGTATTTAAAAAATAGCATATTATTTATAGCTACCTTGTATTCAAGACCAAGAAGGGCCAGTCTGAGTGTAATGACTACAAGTTAGTAAAAAACAAGGGCATCTAAAGAGAGCCCCAGTGGACGTCTGTCCTCCCCCGTCACAAAAATTTGCTTTCTGGACAGAGATACAGAGATCTATACTTTCATTTGTGTGTTTCGTATCAGGTAATTCTTCATTTAGGTGTCAAGAACTTAAAAGATCTTTGGCATGTTCATCTAAACATTTTCCTGAAGTGGGGCTCTAAGGAGCGCTGCTTCTGGAGATATGAAGAGGGATGAAAAGCGATCCTATAGTCAAAGCATTGTATGTCTTTAATCTCCTCACCTCTACCCCAGAAAGTATCAGGGCACGATATTTTCCATGCTGTTAGAAGTTGTGCAACCAAGAATCCTATTTAGTTTAGCTTTTCCCAGTTTATTTGACCCAAATTTGGAAAAGCTATTTTAAAAAATAAAATAAGAGGGAACTTCTGGAGTTTTGTGTCTCTGGCTAGGTCAGAGGGGACTGACAGTTATTCCTGTACACTGCCCAGTCCTGGGCAAGCCAAAGACCTCCCCTCAGGTCATCTCTGGAAGCACAGATCTGTACGAATGACCTGCAAGGTCTAACAGGGCAGGTGCCTAGTGTTTGCTGCTGCGGGACTCACAGACCCTTCAGAGTATCTGTGCCCCGCCCCCTGTCCCCCTGAACCTTCAGTGTTCCCGTTCTGTGCTTCTAGCGGATGTCAGGAGCTAAGTCCTAGCATCAGATGTGACCTGGAGTTTGGGGATTGCCAACGAGGTTTTGACCAGTGTTAGTTAATTATAACAGGAAACTCTCTTGATAGGACAAAAGTCCAAATGCTATTCTTGCAAACATTTAAAGGAGTGTCTCTTCCACCCAGACCCTCCGCTCCAGTTGAACCCAAGATCAGAGAAACCGCTCCTCTCTTTCCTCAAAACGGGGCATGTGTTGCCATCTAGTGATAATTGTGTATAATGACAAAAATGCATTACATTTTTTTTTTTTAACTTTTGCCCCGAACAGTTACTCCCAAAGCTCTCATTTCCAACTTTCTCTTTCAGAGTTTGCTGTTTTCTAGTGTCTAGCCTGGAATTACTGTGTGGGAAATGAGTCTCTCTTCCTGGGTATGCTAGATCCCCCGTCTTTAGGACGGACCCTGGGAGTTGGAGGGGGAAGGCTGGCTTGTCAGAGTGGGCAAGGAGACCTCCCCCAGGGGATCAGAGGCTCAGCCTCCCAGGAAGCCCCACCGACCGGTCACACTGTGCTGCCGTCCTGAGAGCCCTCGGGGGTCCTAAGATGCCATGTGGCCCCAGCCTCATCTCCCAGCCTCCCTCACGCCTCGCAGCCCCAGCCCACGCCCACCTGTGAGCTGTGTCCTTGCCTTCCTCCTTCCCTGTTGCCCGGATGCTCTGCTGATCCTCCCTCCACCCTATGTCTCTGCCATTTAAATCCTCCTTGTGGTTATCATGGTGGCCATGCTCACCGCAGCCGGAAGAGCCTCCCCATATGTCCTGGGAAGCCCTAGGGTTGCCACACTGCCTGCCTGGAGTTGTAGGTGTTCAGGGCTGTGTCTCTTCTCCCCATAGTTCCTTTAGGGTAGGCGTGTCCCCCATTCCATCCCCACAGCTCCCACCTAGGCCCCAGTGGATGAGGCTGGGCTCAGACATGCACAGTAAATGCGTGGAGCCAAGAAGGTATCTTCCTGCACCAGCAAGTATCTTACGTCTCTTTTGGTCAAGGAACTAAAGATCCCAGGGGGAAAAGACATGATCCCGGCTGGGAGCCTCATTCACCATCTACTGGGGATGAAAACATACTCCTAAATAATCACTTTAAACTATTAAATGAATACAAACAGGCAAACTATACTGCATAACCACAGATGTGTAAAAACATTATGTATACATGACCTATAAGACAATCGGATATTTATGCTAATAGTGGTTATTTTAAAAGTTCTTGTTACTTCCCTGTGTTCTTCAAAATTCCTACTTTTGTAATTAAAAAGATTGTGTTTGAAAGACAACTCAGGTAGCTATAAATGTTGGTGTCCTGAGAGAGTCTCACGCACGGCAGAAACCCCAACCCCTTGTCCAGGTCTGGCTGTGGTGCAGGGTCCCCCGCTGCTGGTTGTCGGGGGAGCCTGGCTTGGGCAGGTGGCTGCGCAGGGCCCCCACCTCCTCTCCTCTCCCCAGTGCCGACGGGGACTTTGCGGTGACCCACATGACCAAGGCCCACCTCTTCTCCACGGGCACCGTGCACTGGGTGCCCCCCGCCATCTACAAGAGCTCCTGCAGCATCGACGTCACCTTCTTCCCCTTCGACCAGCAGAGCTGCAAGATGAAGTTTGGCTCCTGGACGTACGACAAGGCCAAGATCGACCTGGAGCCGATGGAGCAGACGGTGGACCTGAACGACTACTGGGAGAGCGGCGAGTGGGCCATCATCAGCGCCACGGGCACCTACAACACCAAGAAGTACGACTGCTGCGCCGAGATCTACCCCGACGTCACCTACGCCTTCGTCATCCGGCGCCTGCCGCTCTTCTACACCGTCAACCTCATCATCCCCTGCCTGCTCATCTCCTGCCTCACCGTGCTCGTCTTCTACCTGCCCTCCGACTGCGGCGAGAAGATCACGCTGTGCATCTCCGTGCTGCTCTCGCTCACCGTCTTCCTGCTGCTCATCACCGAGATCATCCCGTCCACCTCGCTGGTCATCCCGCTCATCGGCGAGTACCTGCTCTTCACCATGATCTTCGTCACCCTCTCCATCGTCGTCACGGTCTTTGTCCTCAATGTCCACCACCGCTCCCCCAGCACCCACAACATGCCCCGCTGGGTGCGGGCAGCCTTTCTGGGCCGTGTGCCCCGGTGGCTTCTGATGAGCCGGCCCCCGCCACCCTTGGCGCCCCACAACCCCCCAGATCTGAGGCTCAGCTCCTCCTGTCACTGGCTGGAGACCAACGTGGATGCGGAAGAGAGGGCGGAGGAAGAGGGGGAGGGCAGATGGGTGTGTGCAGGCCAGTCATCCCCTGCCGCGGGCGTCCTCTGCAGCTGTGCTGGGCTGCACCGAGGGGCCTCACGCACCGAAGCGGAGGCCCAGCTGCAGGAGGGCGGCCTCCTGCTGTCACCTCGCATGCAGAAGGCCCTGGAGGGCATGCACTATATTGCTGATCACCTGCGGGCTGAGGATGCTGACTCTTCGGTGAGTTGGGGCTGAGTGGGGGTCCCTTCCCTGGGCGACTCGACCAGTCTGGGAGCGAATCATCTAGCCCCAGGTGTTCGCGTGGCCCAACCCAGCCTCCTCCATGAGGTCCTCTCTCCCTCAGTCATGGCCCTTGGGAATCCGGAAAACATTAGGTAGAGGACGTCTGGCTGGCAGTTCCTAAGACATTGATCGGCAGGTGGCAGAACAGCAGGCAAAACGGCCCCAGCTAAGCAAGCCAGAGGTGGGGTTCTCAGCCTCTGAACTACCCCCGCACTCTTGCAGCCACTTCTCACATTCCCTGGCGGGGTGAGGGCCGGGGGCAGGAGGAGGGTGTGCCTCCCGGAGAGACCAGACCCACAGGCGGCTGCGGGGTCACGTGAGGGCTCTGCGTCCTGCCCCTCGTGGGCTCCGGCGTTTTCTGGACTTCCCCATTCTCTTACAACCCCCGAGGAAGCCTGGTGGTACCAGGCGGGCTCCCCTGCCGGGCCCCGCGCTCTGAGATGAGCAGGCCGGCCGCTGCCTAGGGTCACAGAATTCTCATGACCCTGGGAAGGATGAAAGGTCACAGCGGGGTGGTTATGACTGGGTGGCCTGGTGGAGTAGATAAGAAAAGCTAATCATTATCTCATGCAGGAGCGCTAGGAGTCCAGACCTGCTTACCTGGGCCGTGAGCCCAAACCCCATGCAGCACCCTGACCCGCATGACCCCATGACCCCTTTCTCTGAGCCACACCTGCCCTCCCCTCCCTGCTGCTTCCATCTCCTGCCACGGGTGGGAGGCGAATGGGGCGGGAAAGTCTTCACATTGGCTGACTTCTGGCAGTTACGCTTCAGCCACTGGAGTCCCTGCCCTTGGGTGGTTCCAGAACCTCCTTGTGTCCCTCTGGCCTCCCTTCCCTGGAACTTGAGGGCCTAGGGAAAGGCTCTGGGCCACGTCTTAAGGGTGGGGTAGGACCACAGGCCTTAGGAGAGGCTGTTTGAGTCTTAAGAGAGCCGTGCTCCCCGGCCCACCTGAGTTCCCCAAGGTCTGAGAGAGCCTGCCGCCACGACCAGGCTGTCCTGCCAGTGCTAGCGGGGGACGCTTGCCCTTTCCCAAGGCCAGGCCCCTGTCACCACAGCCCTGTCCACCTACAGGTGAAGGAAGACTGGAAGTACAGGGGGTCCCTTCCCTGGGCGACTCGACCAGTCTGGGAGCGAATCATCTAGCCCCAGGTGTTCGCGTGGCCCAACCCAGCCTCCTCCATGAGGTCCTCTCTCCCTCAGTCATGGCCCTTGGGAATCCGGAAAACATTAGGTAGAGGACGTCTGGCTGGCAGTTCCTAAGACATTGATCGGCAGGTGGCAGAACAGCAGGCAAAACGGCCCCAGCTAAGCAAGCCAGAGGTGGGGTTCTCAGCCTCTGAACTACCCCCGCACTCTTGCAGCCACTTCTCACATTCCCTGGCGGGGTGAGGGCCGGGGGCAGGAGGAGGGTGTGCCTCCCGGAGAGACCAGACCCACAGGCGGCTGCGGGGTCACGTGAGGGCTCTGCGTCCTGCCCCTCGTGGGCTCCGGCGTTTTCTGGACTTCCCCATTCTCTTACAACCCCCGAGGAAGCCTGGTGGTACCAGGCGGGCTCCCCTGCCGGGCCCCGCGCTCTGAGATGAGCAGGCCGGCCGCTGCCTAGGGTCACAGAATTCTCATGACCCTGGGAAGGATGAAAGGTCACAGCGGGGTGGTTATGACTGGGTGGCCTGGTGGAGTAGATAAGAAAAGCTAATCATTATCTCATGCAGGAGCGCTAGGAGTCCAGACCTGCTTACCTGGGCCGTGAGCCCAAACCCCATGCAGCACCCTGACCCGCATGACCCCATGACCCCTTTCTCTGAGCCACACCTGCCCTCCCCTCCCTGCTGCTTCCATCTCCTGCCACGGGTGGGAGGCGAATGGGGCGGGAAAGTCTTCACATTGGCTGACTTCTGGCAGTTACGCTTCAGCCACTGGAGTCCCTGCCCTTGGGTGGTTCCAGAACCTCCTTGTGTCCCTCTGGCCTCCCTTCCCTGGAACTTGAGGGCCTAGGGAAAGGCTCTGGGCCACGTCTTAAGGGTGGGGTAGGACCACAGGCCTTAGGAGAGGCTGTTTGAGTCTTAAGAGAGCCGTGCTCCCCGGCCCACCTGAGTTCCCCAAGGTCTGAGAGAGCCTGCCGCCACGACCAGGCTGTCCTGCCAGTGCTAGCGGGGGACGCTTGCCCTTTCCCAAGGCCAGGCCCCTGTCACCACAGCCCTGTCCACCTACAGGTGAAGGAAGACTGGAAGTACATGGCCATGGTCATCGATAGGATATTCCTCTGGTTGTTTATCATCGTCTGCTTCCTGGGGACCACTGGACTCTTCCTTCCTCCATTCCTGGCTGGAATGATCTGATTTCATGTCCCTTGCTTTGGCCAAAAGGTGGCACTGCTGACCACCGTTACCTGCTGCCGCCTGTAGAGTAGGCCTCTGGGTGGGCACCATCTGACTGCAGGTGCTTCTCCATGGGCTCCCTCATTGGCCCAACAGCCGAAGACTTCCTGGAATAATTCGCTTGCCAGTATTGTGCTATGTGCTGAGAAGCTGCTGGGCGCACAGCCCCCTTTTGGATGTGAGGAGCTGGGAAAAGAAGGCGATTGCTCTGCAAGAGGTTGTGGTACCGTGGTAACAAGGGCAGTTGTGAGATTCTCCTGCAGAAGTGAAGTAGAGTGACAGGAGGGGCCAAGCTGGGGACCCGGGGAGGAGGGGGTGGGGCCCGGTGAAGAGGCACAGACCTAAGAGGAAGGGTGCATGGGGAAGAGGACAGAGGGCGCTCAGGGGGCAGCAGAGGGGGGAACAACATTTTGGATTCAGGAGTGAGCCTGAGGCACCAGGGAGGACAGCCAGGCTGAGGTGGGGAGTGTGGGCACAGCGGGGGGAGGCTGGAAAGGCAGGCCAGGTGTCTTTAGGCCAGGGGGTCAGCCTGCAGGTGTAACAGCAGAGCGGTGAAGGCTTTTCTGGAAGCAGATGAACAGGGAGGCAAAGCTGCAGGGGGCAGAGGGGCGATGTGGCTGGAGGCGGGAGGCTGGGCCGCCACACCCACCAGGAAGCCCTTTCGAATCCCCAGACTTCCGCCACCGTCTGGGCCCACCTGGCTGTTGCCCACTGGCTCAGCACCAGCTGCCCCAAGGTGTGACAGTAATGAGACCATCTGTCCTTCAATGTGCATTTGACAAACCAGAAAGATACCCAGAGCCATTCCAGACCCAGCCCAAGCCCACAGCTCTCTCCCTCCCTCCCTCCCAAGGCACTTGGTATTTCTTCTGGGGGGAGTGAGCTGGATTGTGGTGGCCCCGAGACTGCTGTGTGGACGCAAAAAGCCCCAGGATGGCTTCCATTTCCAGGCCGGCCTGCGTGCTGATGCCTTGGGATTCAGCATCCGCAGTCCCCAGCCACAGGGGCAGCCTGAGGTGCTGCTGCCCGGGATCCTGCCTCCCCCAGGCCAGCCCAGACCTGGAGCGCAGAAGCTCAGCAGCCAACAGATGGGGGCCTGGGTTCCCGGATAGAGTGGGGCCTGGACAGGAAGCCAAGTGGGGTGAGCTTCCAGTTTCCCTTGGCCTTTGGGGACCCTCCTTCCAATCCCCCATGCAGTTCTTCCGGACAGGCCCAGGGGAAACTGACTCCACAACCCAGTCCTCCGCCCTCTGGTTCTCCCCCAAGACGCCCACCGAATGGCCCATCCCGGCTCCTCCCTGCCCCGGTGGGTGCAGCCCCCCAGCCTCCCCTCCCCAGTCTCCCAGACCTGACCTCCTGGTACAGTGATGTTGGCTCTTGTTATTCTGCCTCCCTTTCATCTTGCATGTGAGTCAAGGGGTCAAATAGAGCTGCTGCTCATTCAGCCGTGGAACCCTCCTCAGCGTCCCTAGGACCCCCAGCCCCACTCCCCCATGAGCCCTGGCTGTCTGGATTGCAGCTGGAAGACTGCCATTGGCCTTTCCTCAGGCGGCCCTGCAGCGGGCTGCCTGGCTCCCACCGGAAAGCCGCCCCCCAGCCAGGGGCAGGAGCAAAGGCTTGGGGCACCCGCCTGGCCGCCCCTCCGTGCGTGAGTCCTGGAGCTGGCCCTGTGTCTGCACCTGACATGAGCACAACGATCACTTGCAGGGCTGTAGTCCAAGGTCAGTGTTCCTGCCAAAGAGCAGGGCAAACCAGCAAAACCACTCACAAAGCAAATGGTACAATTTTAATTCATCACAAGTTAGATAGAAAGAAGGTAAGAGAAGTGCTCTTCCCGGACACAAGAAGCAGGGCAGGGGCAGGAGGTGAAGTGGGGAGAGCAGGAGAGTAAGAAAAGGGGGGAGAAGACAGGAGGGGCAGAGTGAGGGAAGGGGGGAGGCGGGAGGCTGGGGGGAATGTGGATTGTGGTCCGAGCCCCGTTTGGCCTCGCCTCTCCTTCTCCCCGATACTCGGTGAGGTGACAACAGCAGCCTGCGCCTGGACCCCCAGTAGTTTGCTCCCGGACTGTGGCCGGGTCCCCCGCAGGGGCTACATGGCTGTCGGTCCAGACCAAATTCATATTAAATAAATTCCAATATACACTGTACAAGAAAGCCAGGTTCACCTCTCATCTCACCAGCTGCCTACCCCCAAAAGAAAACCCCTGTCCAGCCTCTCTGTGCAGGGGGCTTTGGGGGACCTCTGAGGGCGGAGAGGAAGGAGAAGGAACAGCTTGCTTCCCAGGTCAGCCTGCCATGCCCATGCACAGAGCCGTTGTGGCCGCTAGGGGCACCAGCGTGCCCACCCCACAACAATGGCCGTGTGAGGAGGGGCTGGCCCAGGTGCGAGCCTGGCAGAGCCCCGTTTGTCACCCCCTGGTGTCTACAGCCCTGGTTCTCCTCCGACCAGCTGCAGCCTGAGCGGCACAGTCCGGGGCCGGGGCGGGGAGGGGGAGTCGTGCAGAGTGGCCAGGGAAGGATGACTCCCCTCAGCCTTCTCCTGAGATGACCCACATGACCGAAGGCAAGGCAGGGCCGGGGTGGGGAGGCACAGGACAGGCAGGGCAGAAGGTGCAGGCAGGGGCGCCCCCTCTGTCACTCCGCAGGCGGGTGGGCCAGGTTGGCCATGACCTTGGCCTGGTCTACGGCATCGAGCAGGTTCTTGGCATCAACGGCCAGGGTATGGGAGGCCGTGAGCATCTGCCGCTTGCACTCCTCGCTCAGGGAGGTCACGGCGTTCTGCTGGGCCAGTCGCATCTTATTGATGAGCTCCGCCAGGTCCTTGTTGAGCAGTTTCTGGGTCCCTTCGATCTGTAGGAAGAGTGCACGGGAGAAGCCGGGAGCATGAGGAGCCCCCTGGTCACGGACAGGAGTATGGCGAAGCCTGGGACGGGTTCTGGCCCAGGCAGCGAGTTTACTGGGGGGCAGGTCCTGACTCGGGCCGAGCAGAGTCCCAGGCGGCACCTGAGCCGCAGCCGGGTGTACAAGGGCAGGCCCTGCAGACATCCCAGAGCCCAGCCCAGTCTGATCAAGCCCCTCAGTGCTGGCCCAGGGGGTGAGGGAACGGTTAGGGGCAAGTGTGTTTATCCATTTGTTAGCAGTCCATCATCAAATCAAGAGACCAGGGCCTGGTTTGAGCTGCGCAGTTTGGTTGACTGCTGCACTCCTAGGGCCTCGCACATACTGCTGAGCATACACGCAGCCCTCAAGAGGTGTTTATCAACAATGAATGGTTGGGCCATCAGGCCCAGGTAAGGCCACCAGGACAGGCCGGGCTGGGCTCCTCTGTGGGCTGCTGTGATCACCAGAGGGACCAGGAAATGCCCAAGCCCTCCCGCATCGTGTCCTGAGCGGTCACAGATGGTGGGGACTGTGGTGGGGTGTGGTGGTCATGTGTGCTGTGTTGCTGGCCACTGGGAGATGGTGAATCAAACTACAGCCTGGCAGGGGGTGGGGGAGCCTGGGGCTGATCTGCTGGGGTCCACAGGGGTTTCCCAAAGGGCAAGCAACAAGTGTTCAGAGGCACCGTGCCAGCCTCCCACGGCTGCAGTAACAAATGGCCACAAATGCAGCAGCTGAAAACAACCCAGACTTACCCTCGTACACTCCAGAAGCTGGCCCGCATGCCTTCTGCAGGCTGCAGGGGAGCATCTGTTCTCTGCCTGCTCCAGCCCCTAAAGGCCACTGCCTTCCTGGGTGTGTGGGTCCTTCCAGCAAAGGCACCGTTCCAGCCTCTGCCTCCGCCACCACCCCTCTGACCCTGACACGCCTCTGCTCCGCCTTTCTCTTCCGAGGACCCTTGTGGCAGCACTGGGCCCACCTGGATAATCCGGCATGATCCTCCTGCCTCAAGATCCTTAACTTAATCACATCTGCAAAGCCCCCTTTGCCACATAAGGTAACAGAGTCCCAGGGTCCGAGCATTAGGGTGCGGACGTCTTTGGGGGGCACTGTTCTGCCTCCCACAGGAGCTATCTCAGGAAAGAGCACTGAAGTCCTGTTTTGGTTTTCAGTAATTGTTTCTCACTTAAATAAAGAAAATTAGATTAAATGATCACTTGAAGAAATCTTAACTGCTCTTTTGATGTCCCCCCCCCCTTGACTTCAGTATGGAGGGTGACCAGAGAAAGGGTCCCAGGAGGGAGGGGGCGGTGTGTCCTGTGCACACCCTCATGCATGAAGAAGTCGCTGCAACTATCTGAGACCTCAGCGAGGAAGTCGCCCTGGGAAGCTGCCAGCTTCCTGGGTGCCCACACAGACCCCGGTGGCACCTGCTCAGACGGCCATCAGAGCCACCTCCTGAAGGCTCCGGAGAGAGGTGGCGCTGCCCAGGCGGCCCTTCACAGGGTCCTGTGTGAAATGCAGCGGGGCCAGCCAAAGGCCAAGGGGAGGAGGGGCAGCTGGTGGCAGTCAGACGAGGACTCTCACCTCTGTCCTTGAAGATGACGGCAAGGAGGGGAGAAGGTCGTCCACACTGCCGATGAGCTTCCGCAGGGTCAGGCCCACATTCTGTGAGAGGTTGGGGACTGTCACCTCTGGCTTTATAGAAAGCCATGTGTCTTCTGGGACGAGCCCTCCTGGGGATGCGCCTGCCTTCCAAGCTTACCTGGGACTAAATGTCATCTAACTGCCGTGTTCTAATGGGGGTCTCCCTGGAAGGGCACCTGCTGGGCCCACAGGGAAGCCCAGCCTTTCCCCTTCCCATCAGGGCTGGAGGAGCAACGACCCTCCCCGCCCAGCCCGCCAACTGCTGCCCATGCTTCTACACCCCTCTCACCTTCACCACCACAACGTAGCCCTCGGGAGGCAGCTGGCAGAGCTCGTTCTTGAGGTCCAACACAGCCCGCACCAGCTCCATGACATTGAGGTACACCAGGTCGTCAGTCCGGTCCAGGTTGGCTGTGGGCTGGATGGACTGGGGCAGAAGCAGAGGGCTGGGGGCGAGGGTCTCAAGCTGGGGGACGCTACCCTTCTTTCCTGGGCAGGCACTGCTGGGGCCAACTGAGCCACCAGCTCAATTTGAACAGACTCTCTCCAAAATAATAGGGCCTGTCCTGGGGTGCTCCCTCCCTTCTACTTCCAGGGCGGTGGCCCTCACATTAGAGTCTGCCAGGTGGCATCCTGGCAATACTGGCGGCCGGCATCCCACCAGGCTCAGTGAACTATCACCAAGGCGGGGGTTTCCAAAGCTCCTCAAAGCTCCCCAGATAATTGCTTCAGGCAGCCAAGGCTGAGACCCACTGCTGCAGGGTGAGGAGGACCAGACCCCGCCTTAGGCTGCTGCGACAACAAGGTGGGTGCAGGGGCCAAGGGGTGGCTGGAGAGAGGAAGGGGTCTGGGCCTCCTGCTCACAGGCTGCACCCGTGTGCTCACCTCCAGGTCAGGGAGGGGCACGGGGACAGGACCCTGGCCTTTCCCTTGCCTTTTTGTGACTTGGCTGTGTGGCCTTAGACAAGGCACTTGCCCTCTCTGGGCCTCAGCTGTATAATGAGGATACAGGACCCAGTTATTTCTGAGGGCCTCTCAAGGCTTCCTAATCCATCGCCTTCAGTCTTAGGAGCCCTGATTCAAATTCATTACCAGCTCTGGCAGAGTCAACACATACCTGCGCGCCCAGCCGCGGCGGCTTTTGTGGGGGCCCCGTGAACTCCGCTGCAAAGGGGAGGAGAGTCAGTGAGGGGCTCTCAGCACCCCGGTCCTTCCATTTGTACCTGCTGATGACCATGCCACCCCTCTCCTCCTCTCCTGGGGGACCCAGAGAAATAGCCTCGGATTCCAGGAAGATGCCAGGAAAATAATAACCTCTAGTCTCCCGGTCCTCCCATAGTCAGAGACAAGACACTGCCCACTGCATAGAAAGAAAAAGCCACGGATGCAGCAGCATGGAGCGACTGCAGTGCTGGTCCAGCGTCTGCCCTGGCCCCGAGGAGCAGCGCACACTCTGGCCCTGACAATCTGGAGGCAGTCGCTTCTCTCTGTGAAGGCATCGGCGGCTGCGGGGACCCCACGAGGTGCAGCAGCTATGGGGGGAATCTGTGAGGATTCCCTAATGGTCTGCTTTCAGCTTTTGGGGGGTCAAGGAAATGTACCAGCAGAAGAACCATGCTCTTCACTCCCTGCTTGGATAAGCAAAGACACGCACAAGCCCGGGGAGAGTGGGCCCCCGGGTACAAGTCAGGACACTCCCTGGGCCTTAAGGTAGTAAATGGGAGGGTTAGCTCCGAAAGATCCCTGGGGCTGGCTGCCTGGGCTCAAATCTGAGCTGCATGTCTTTCGATGTTACTAAACTTTTCTGGGCCTCGGTTGCACATCTTTTGTTAAATGACATGATAATAAATTGTACCCATCTCATGGAGTTGCTATGAGACTAAACATGTTGACATTTGTAAACAGCTTGGGCCTGTGCTTGGCTTGAGTTTTCTGTGACTGTTGTCATTGTCATGGGTTGCTGGCCTCCCCCACTTTAGCAGAAGCTTCTGGCAAGACCCTGCCCATTCGGCTGCCCTGCCCTCTTTCTCTCCCGTCCCTGGTTCTAGGGAACATGAGCATCAGTGGGGAGAGGTGAGCGGAGCTACTTTATTTGCCTGCACAGAGAG